GAGAGAGAGAGAGAGAGACAGAGATAGAGACAGAAAGAGAAAGAAAGGAAGAAAGAAAGAAAGAAAGAAAGAACTTATGACCACAACTGAGCCCAAAATTTTGTTTGCTAAGCAAAAGCGTCGTTAAGTGAGTTTCACCACATTTTCCAAGTTGGCCACCCTCACCCAGTCACATGACCGCCGAGCCACTCCCACAAAACAGGCCACATCTACAGAATAGGTTCTAAAGAATTTTGAAACCCACCACTGGCGTGCGTAAAGCATGCACACAAGCGAACCAGCAGTAAAGCCGGCCTTTACCACCCTTGGTTCTTATCTTAAAATAAGATCAGTAAATCAATTTCCCGAAGTAATTTCTACATATTGGATGTACCAGAAACTTTTCGGTAATGATTGTTTGGAAATACAACCCAAGAGATATTAATTTGTGTGGTTTGGATTCATTTTATTAATGCTGGATCAATTACTCTCTTATTAGAGGGGCATACACTTCTCTTGGCTGAATTAATCAATATTAATGCTTTTCATTTATAAATATGGTACTGGTTAAAAGAATCATGACATAACATGGAAAGGAGAAATCTACCTGATCTGCAGCAATGGGCTGGTTTTAAAATCCCATATGATTTTTTTTTAATTGACTACTTTGACAAAGGGGCAAGAAAGAAGACATTCCTCAATACTGTCATGGAATTTTTGGTTGAAAACATTTTTGCAGACGGTTTTTCTTTTTTCCCCTTTACCTCTAATATTTTCATTATTATTAATTTTGAGGGTATATTATATTGTTAACACTATTGTATGTATTTTTCTTGTGTTAACCGATTTTCTATTATAAAAGAAATGCATAAAAACATTCATACAAAGGGGTATAGCATGTGATCTACTTAGCTAAAAAAATGTGTAAAAACTATTTAATATGTAATGTGTCTTCCCGGCACTAAAACGTAAATCAGAGCCTAGTAAGTTATGTTCATTTTGATGGGCCTCATGTTTTTTTAAAGGAAGAAGATATAGTAGGAAATGTTCTCTTCCATGGGAACAATACTTAGAAATCTACGAAAAGATAAAGTGACATACCTAATGGTGTGTCGACCAAGATTGCATTGAAGAGCTCTGCAGGGTTTGGAGCAATGCTGACAGCTTCCATTTGCTCGAAGTTGCCCAAAGGATGGCACTTAAGAACCAATTCATCTATGGGTCTTTGGCGCAATGTACCAGTAATGAGGAGAATCACATTATCAATCATATAACTATACCTAGTATGACAAGATAACATCAGTCAAAGGTTTTATTACATTCTCTGAAAAATATTTTAAAATCCAACAATCAGATTAATGTTAAATCTAATATCTTTCTAGCAGAACATTAATTTTCCTCTAAGCAGGGCTCCTATGATAAAATGGGAATAAGAATTTCTTCACAATGCATGCTACATTAAACAAGATGACAATATCGTCTAAAAGGAATCTACTTTGCAGACCATAGCACATTAAGAGATGGGGAAAGTCCAACTATTTTTACATTTCATTGTCTGCATGTGGATTTTGTGATCCTCATTCTTCCTCACCTCTCTATCAGCCATTCTGAAACTTATAAACCTACAAATATTTTGGACCACAACTCAATCCTGCCCATAGCAGCTGAGTTGATGGTACTTGGAAAGCAACAGGTCTTGCACAAGAATGTTACTTTATATTGATAAATAGGAGACACATGCTACTGACTCTTATTAATAAGTCACATAGCAATGTGTTTGAAGACACATCTCTGCCACCTTCTTCTCTGGGTGATAAGTCATTTGGGGTAAATATTTAATTTTTCTTCTTAAAGTTTAATTAATGCATTTTATAGAGAAGATGTATTCAGTCTTTCCCATTTTTACATAAGACAAGACAATTAGATTGGTGATGTCAGGGACTTAATATAATATTCTAAGAAATGAATTATCAATTATCAATTATCCATTTATCTAATTGCAGTATTATATACTGCTGACTCCCAAATGGACTCTTAGCACGTTACAAAAATACACATAAAATCTATTCCCACTAAAGCAGAATACCAAGTCCAAGTTACATTGGCATCCCAGTAAGCAAAATTAAAACACATAGAATAGTTTAATTCATGCATTCCACTTTTTATTATATTAACTCAAAGTCATAAACAAATCCGACACAACTTCCTCTTCCTATTTTTCTCATAACAACAACCCTGTGAGATGAGTTGGACTGAGAGAAAGTGACATGCCCAAGGTCACCCAGCTGAATTTTGTGATGAAAGTGGGACTAGAACTCACAGCCTCCAACTTTCTAACCTGATATCTTAATATCCGTTCTCCACTTTATCTGCCTTTGGGGATAGTACCACCCAAATCTCCAGGTTTAGGATATTCTACGGAAATGGAGCATGGACCAAGAAACGCCAAGTTGCTTTCTCTTGATTTCTTCCCAGAAGGGCAGGGATGGAGGTGGGGAAAAGGTCTGTCTGAATTACAGCTCAAGACAAATGCATTGAATGGAATAGTTCTATCTGAAACAGGCAGACCTGTAACTACCTATCCATATTCCAAACCATAAAGGGCTTTATACATTAAAAATAAGTATCGAACTGTACTGCATGTTATACCAAAGCTGGCTTCTGGGTGGTCTTCCAAGGCAATTGCTTATAAAACTCTTTTCAGTAATCAATAGGATATGTTTCTAATTCAGAATGATAAAACACAGCAATTGATTCAGGCACAAAATCATAATTAATAGTTAAGTAAAAAAAGAAACAGTGCTTCAAACAAAAGAAGGAAATCTAATATTACTATGATGGTGTTAAAGGTAAAGATTTCCTCTATCCAGTCATGTCCAACTCTAGGGAGCAGTGCTTATCTCTGTTTCTTAGCAGAGGGAGCCAGCATGATTAAGACTTTTCCATGTTCATGTGGCCAGCATGACTAAGCCGAGGCAACAAGAATGCTGTTACCTTTCCATCAAAGTGGTACCTGTTTATCTACTTGCATTTGCATGCTTTTGAACTNTTTGGTGGGAAGATAACAGCATTCCGTATGCCTTCAGCATTTAGTCATGCCAGCCACATGACCACGGAGACATCTCCGGACAGCGCTGGCTGTTCAGCTTTGAAAACAAGATGAGCACCGCCTCCTAGCGTCAAGAATGACTATCACATATGTGCGGGGGAACCTTTACCTTTACCTTATATAGCACTGAGTTCTGTTTTTCCTATTACCTGTACAGTTGACAGGAAAGGTCAATAGCATCAAAATGCAGGTGTAACTGGTGATCAAAATCCTGTCCCTTTTTTCATGCACTGTATGTTAAGAAGAGATGTGGCCTCAATTACCCAGTTGCATCTACTATTAAGACACTCTTCTCCTCTGGAGGTCCCCTCCCACTGTCCTCCCCTCAATTATATAGAAATTCCATTATAACATCAACTGTATTTATCAGCACTCCTTCTTCCAGAACAATCATATTTCATATCTCAGAAAAGCAAGAACAGGAAATGGAAATGGAAATAGCAATCTCCACCATTGGCCAGAGAGCTCCATGCATTTCTTTTAATGAAGCAAGTCAGAGGTGGGTTGCTCCTGGCCTGATTCAGCCCGGTTCAGCCAAATCACTAATGGCAGTTGAGGACCCGTTGAGCACGAGCACAAGTAAATCGGTAGTAAACCGGTTAGTAACCCACCACTGAAGCAGACTCAATGTTATCCATTTGCTTTGTTTAGAATCTGGTACACCCAGTATGTTAAGATTTTTAAAATTTGCCAACATCTACCCTAAAGTGGTATAGATAGAATATGGTTTTATCGGGCACAATTTGGAAATTACATACAGCATAGTAGTCCGCCACACCCTTCACTTGCTCATAATCCTCAGTCTTGGCAAGCATATCTAAGCCTTCTGGATACAGTCTGCCACAAGTTGGATACAGCTTCTGTCTGTCCTCTTTACTTAGTTCTGTTCCAAATGAATTAATTGTGATAATAAATGCTCGTCGGTCAGCTTCAAACTGAATAAAGTAAAACATACGACAATTTTACATATTTTTAAAGAATCATTCATAGATGCATAACTGTTACGCTGAGTATTAGTAATCCACTGAAATTCTCTCTGTCTTTTGGAAATCTTGATTTTTAAAAATTGGGTTTTTTTCACCTGGTTAAGCTTTTTTCCCTTTGTTAATAATATAAAAGTTAAGTAAACACCTTTCCACCCCACTGGGAACTCACATTATTTCCTAGTAATGTAACATATTCCAAAGGAAGAATTGAAAGAGCACCAATAAAATTGGTTCTGTGCAGAAATAGCTAGATTTTTAACCAATGAAATATTTCAAAACTTACTTATTAAAAAGAAATCAGTAGGCTGTGTACTACAGAAGTGAATAACTTTTTTTTGCAATCTTTAATTCTGGCTGTTTATGCCAAGGACCGAAGGATAAGACAAAGAAGTAGATCACTGATTGATTTCAGTTTTTCTTGGTTTCTCAGTTTTCAAAATCTTTTTCATTTAAACTTTTGATAAATTTCTTAGTTTTCCATTTGGAATTTTTTGTAAATTCCATTCCTATATGAGTTTGAAATGTCTTTTTAAAAAACAACAACAATGTGTATGCATTTTTACACATTATTCCAAACAGATGTTATTTGCCATTTCCCTAATGTTACATTTCCCTAATGTTAATATTTTTGCATATTTCTTTTTGCAAGCAATTTCCCCTTAATGTAATGCATTCTTGTACATTTATTTCATTAATACATTTTTGTCCAACTTCTGTCCAATAGATATACATTAATGTGAATTCATGTAGACTATATTCATAGGATACTAAATTATAGGATCAACAGTAGGTATATTTTTACAGGTGGAAAAATCATTAAAGAGAGATTCAACATAAAACTAAGGAGAAATTTCCTGACCGTGAGAACAATTAATCAGTGGAGCAGCTTGCCTCTGGAAGTTGTGGATGCTCCATCACTGGAGGTTTCAGGAAGAGACTCGGAAGAGACTGGGCAGCCATTTGTCTGGGATGATACAGGCTTTCCTGCCATGGGCAGGATGTTATACAAGAAGAGTGCTCCCAATGCTGTTATTTGATGTTCTAGGATTATAAATGAGATCTAAAGAAGACATATTAATTTTTTCTTACCTCTAAAATAGGACACATTATATCTGCTGTAGTGCCACCTTCTTTTTTGCAAAATGCATAAAAGGCCTCAAGATATGACTAAAAAATAGAACAGAAAAATAACACATTTATTTGAAAAACCGTCTTTGAAAGATCACAAATAGGATTTAATTGGAGTTGTTAATTTAGATGCGAGTCCAGACAGTATGAAAAATATGAATACATTACTGATATATTGTTTACCGCAGAATGAAAGTAAGGTTAATGTGTTTCTTCCACCATTAAACTTATAACTCATGTAGGTTTTTGTGAAGCAAGAGGAGAATTGGCTGCATCTCTGGTTTGTTTTCTATTTGATTTGACTTGATTGCTGTTTAGTAACCTTGGGTACGAATTTGAGAAGCAAGGAATAGGGATAAGAATAATTTAGTTTCCTCCACATCCATTTGTCAAATTTGCAAGTTTCTACTTATCCCCTGGAGACTGCAATTAACAATATGAAAACTAGGAACACTGTTGAAGCCAGTGCCTGTGCTGTGAATTTTGAGAGCATATTTATGTGTTCTCAGAAAATGTACTACAGAAAATTAAAGAAATATGTTTGCCTATGGAGATTCTCAATCATCCAGGTCATGATTATCCCAAAGGTGTTTCCCCCCCGCCAAAAGGCAGGTAGGGATTCTTGGTTGTTTTTTTTAAAATGTTTCACTGCTCATCCAAGAAGTTTCTTCGGTTCCGAAGAAGCTTCTTGGATGAGAAGTAAAATGTTTTCAAGGAAAAAACCAAGCAAGTCCAGTTGCCTTTTAGAAAAAGAATCTTTGGGTCTCGAGGATATGTTCTTTACCTGTTCCTGTAGCCCACCTGAATTTCATCCCAAACTATATTGCATAAGATCAATATTAAAATAAAAGTTGAATTTGGAAATCTTGGTTTCTACTTAATAACTAGAAATATTGCTGAATTCAATATCAACTGACAATGCTTCTTGTAACAGCAACCCTCAAGGGCTAGTCCTACCATTAGACAGAGTGATGTCAGGGCATGAGAATGGCAGTCAAATGTTAGAAAACAGAGCTGTATGTAGACAGCTTATCCTCTGATCTTTAAAACTGTATCCACTGTGGAGGAATCATTTAGTGTTAAAATAAGAATGTGTATTCCAGTGTTTTTGAACCTTGGCAGCTTTAGGATGTGTGGACTTCAATTCCAGAATTCCTCAGCCATCCAGCCAGTTGAATCAACTTGGATGTGATGATGAAGAGAGTGGAAGAATTACTTTGTTCTTTGTCATGCACACCAAAACGTTCTTGGGATGACTTTTGCAACCTCGTGCAAAATATAAGTTCACTAAACTCAGGAGGGCTGAGATATGAGCGAACCTGCATAGATTAGCCTCCAGAAAGTTATTAATACCTTCTGTATAGTTGTGCAATCTTTTAATATACAATTATTGTTTGTCTATTGGCAACAGAGATTTGAAAGATTCCATTAAAATGTTATGTCAGAAAAATATGTTATAGAAAACAGAAGACATACTCGTTCTGTTTTTTCCACATGGGATTTGCATCTGAACCTGCTTAAATTCTATATGTTAAATCCTATTTTTGAACAAAATGGCTTTTGTGTGATAGATAATAACATAAAGTAGAACAGAAGTCACAAAGTACCTTTGTTTTTTTGCCACAGCCAGTAATATATAGTATACATCTATCTTATTTGTACTTTTCTTTTATGTATATTTACATGGTACCAGTGATAAATCTGCCACTTATTTTAGTAGCCTTAATCCGCACAGATTTCTCTACACAACAGAATTGAATAGAATTCAAGCGGGGTTTACCTTGTACAGTTTGTTGCGCATGAGTTCAATATTCATTTCATCCAGGTCATTTTCAGATATACAATCTTGAAAAAAGTCAGCTGTAAAGAACAATATTTAAACTATAGATCAGATTTCAAAAAAGGTCATTTATTACATTTTAAAAAAAATGTTCAAATGTTAAACAGTTTTTCTAATTATGAAAAATAGAAGAAAAAGGAACAGGAAAAGGATCATGATTATGAAACAATGTTAATATTAAATCCCCAGAAGAATTGTGTCAAAATTAAAATGTTAAATGATAGCCATAGCTTCCTGGGATGCTCTTCTAAAATACTAGTTTACTATAGTTGGCTCTTGTAATTGTTGTTGATGATGTTATAAGAAAGTGATCAGTTTTATAGTGGCTAGGGAGTTGGCAGCACATTGCCAATTCCAGAAACAGGGTCTGAATATAGTTGCCTTTAAGAAACCTAGAACATTCTCAAATGTTGTTTATTATTGTAGAATAGGTTAGGAAAAGTGATAGAAAAGTTCTCAAGTTCTGTGATTGGTGTATCAGATTTGAAATCTTGAAGAACTATTGTTGTTAGATCACCTCAATTTGCGACAGATTTATGGTTTTTAATTCTGAGAATTTTTAACAATAAGTACGTGAGCTGAGACAGTGGGAGAAGTGCCATTATTGGAGACAACTGTAGTGATCTGACTCAGCTGAAGGTAGCTTTGGTTCATATGTCACCAAACTCACATAGAGACCTATTTAGATTGCACATATGTATGCCCCCTTTTGCACGCTAATCCAAATTATCACGATGCAGCTATAGGAGATGCTAAAAGTGTTAAAAACCCTTTATAACTGGTGAAGAGGAAAGGAAATACTCAATACTGAGTTTGACTGTACTGAGTAAATAAATCTGTGAAGGCATCCTTTAAATAAAGTTAATTGGGTTCTTATCAGAGGTGGGTTCCTACTGGTTTGGCCGAACCAGTAGTGGTATGGCGGCCTGGGTTGCTGGAACTGGCAGCGACCCAGGCCTGCCACGCCCCAGAACCAGTTCCCTGGTCAACACCTTGTTTTTGGGTTCTGTGCATGCACAGAATAATTTTAATTGAACTGTGCATCCAGAATGCACGTGCACCATGGGTAGGTTTTAGGGGGTACACCCCAGTATGTGCGTACCCATTGGTCAAATTTAGCATGTTTTCTGGTACCTGTTCTTCCAGAGGCCGCGTACCGGAATGTTCCCATTGCCTGCCCCTTTGCCCACTCCCCCTGCCCACCCAGTCGCTGATCACTTGCCCTGCCTGTCCACACCAGGCTTGCCCCGCCAACAGCCGCCTCATTACCAATATGGGGTGGTAAATCCATGCAGAGGCAGGAAAATGCAGGCATTCCCCACCCCCTCCATTGGAAATAAGGTGGCTGTAAGAGAGAAGAGGGCAGCACACTCCACGTGGCTGTGCAGCAGCCAAAGAAGGAACAGGAGGCAAATATTTGGCTGTTGCAAAAGTCCATAGGCACGCACTGCCCTTTCTCTCTGACAGCCACCTGGTTAAAAAGCCATTCCCTGCCACGTTTTTCCCTGGGGGGCTCCGCAGAACATCCCAAGACTGATGCCACCACATTTGCCCTCTTTGGGGACAAGTCCTCTTCAGAAGGATGAGGCCTCCATGGTCCCCCTCGCATTCCTCGTCTTCCAGCCGCGGACCCACACTGTGGAAAACATAGGTGCGCAGACACCTGCACAATTACAGCCCAGATCAGGACCAAAGCCCCTCTCCCAACTGGCCTGTTCTCCCTTGGAGGGCTTCGGAGGAAAGCTTCTCCAGAAGCCCGGGCGAGTGAGAACAAGTTCCCGCCATTACGAAGTCTCCAACGCTGTAATTGTATGGGGTGTGTGCACACGCCTATGTTTTCCACGGGCTCCAAAGTCATTGTCAGCTCCGCAGAACCTCACCACAGCTCCATGCCATGGAAAACATAGGCACACACCCCATACAATTACAGCCTCAGAGACTTCGTAATGGCAGGAACTTGTTCTCACTCACCCGGGCTTCTGCAGAAGCTTCCCTCCGAAGCCCTCTGAAGCCTTCCGAGGGAGGAAGGGTGAGTTGGGAGAGGGGCTTTGGTCCTGCTCCGGGCTGTAATTGTGCGGGTGTGTGCACATCACAGTGTGGGGACCTGTCCCCAAAGAGGGCAGATGTGGTGGCATCAATCTTGGGATGTTCTGCGGAGCCCCCCTCCCCCCCCAAGACTGCTGCCAGGTACTTTTAACCATATATTTTGGTCCTATGCAGAATGCTGCAAAAAAACCATAAATGCAGGGCAGTTGTTGAGTGTTTCAAATGTGATTGGAACACTCAACATGGTGACCACAGTATGTTTGTGTGAGTGTGTGAATGAGTGAGACAGACAGAGACAGACAGACACAGAGAGAGAGGCACACAGAGAGAGAAGGAGGAAGGGAGGGAATCAGAGACAGACAATCACAGAGAGAGAGAGAGAGA